GTTTGCAGCCGAGTACTACGTGACCGGCATGCGTGTGAACGCATCTAAAACAAAGTCTCGTGCCTTCGCGTTGTCCTGCTCGTTGCTTTCTTCAGATTAACGCAGAAGCAGTGGAGCAGGTGAAGAAGTTAAAGTACCTCGGAATTGTATTTACTAGTGATGGAAATTTGGAGGAAGAGATCGACCGGCGAATTGGAGTAGCCAGGGGGGTTATGCGCGAACCCGCCCGTACCATTGTGACTAAAGTAGAACCGAGTCTGAAAACTAAGCTCTCGGCATTCAAGTCGATCTTTATCCCCATGCTTACATATGGTCATGAGTCGTGGACCATGATCGAGAAGCTTCGAACTCGGGTACAAGCGGTTGAAATTTGCTTTCTGAGACAAATCACTGGCCTTACGCGTCTCAGTTTGGTCCGAAATACAGATCCGCGAGAGCCTTGGTGTGCAGTCGCTGCTTCTTCAGATTGAGAAGTCACAGCTGCGATGTTTTAGGCACGTTTTGCGAATGTCTCAAAAAAGGAAGGTTAAGCAACTGTTTCTTGCCTATCCGACTGACAGAAGGCCAGTGGACGGCCAAGATTAGCCTAATGCAAATATATGGAAGGAGTCAGTTCCAGACTCCAGCTATCTTCTGCCAAAGCTCTGACCCTGTTGCAGGATCAGGAACGTTAAAAGTACTGTCTGACGCGTCTGCCTCCGCGAACCGAATGGAAAAGTGGTCAGGAACTATGAAGATGAAGAAGATAAAGATTTGCGTTTTATTTCTGTATTCTTCTGAACGTTTGCCGTACTTCCCAAGGACTGCGCTGTAAGGTATAGATAGCTTTGTCGAATAGAGTTTCTTTACCATAGCTTCGTTAGTCTTTCATTTCAGGGTTCATGAAGGCTTTACTGCTGTCGTAGCGACTTAGTAGTATACATCTCGTAGTATTTGGTCTTGTCATGCCCATTGGTGATTGCTCGTTCTCCGTGATGGGACCCCACTGTTGAAATATGGAGAGTTGTTTTGCTTATGGACGTACTGTATCAACAAAACGTTCTTTAATTTGCTGCATTTCATTATGATAAGTGTTATCTGACAATTACTCAATATCATCATCTTCTTCCATAACTGCTTCTCCTTTCGGGTCTCGGAAGTAAACGCGTCAGAGTGCTTCCAACGTTCCTGATCCTGCGCCAGTCTCAGTTTCGGCAGAAAATAGCTAGAGTCTAGAGCAGACTCGTACCATAAATTTGCTCCAGGTTAATCTTCACCCTCCGCTGGGCCTTCGGCCGATCGCATTGGCAAGAAATAACTGCGTTGTCTTTCATTCTGAAGGCATTCCCAACACATGCTAACCATCGTAGATGTGACTTCTCAATCTCAAGAAGCAGCGGCAGTACACCAAGGCTCCCGCTGATGTCTGTATTCCGGACCATGTACAGATGCGTAAGGCCAGCGACTGGTCTCAGAAGGGCCACTTCAGCCGCTTCTTCATTCCTTGCTTGAAGTTTCTCAGTCATGGTCCACGACTCATGACCGTAGGTAAGCATAGGGATAAACTCTTGAATACCGAAAACTTAGTTTTCAGACTGAGCTCTGCTTTAGTTACGTGGATCGGGTTAGTTCACGCAGAACGCCACTGGCTGCTCGAATTCGCCGGTCGATCTCTTTCGCAAATTTTCCATCTTTAGTAAATACGAAAACGAGATATTTGAACTTCTTCACCTGCACCACTGCCTCTCCGTTAATCTGAATAGATCAGATGGCAGGAGAACGAAAAAGCACATGCCTTTTCATTTTAGATGCGTTCCCACGCATATCGGTCACACTCGGCTACGAGCACATTCAGCGAGCACTGTAGATCAGTTTCAGAAGGTGCCAATAAAGCAGGTCGTCTGCAAAGAGCAACCTTCTCGTCTCCACATCTCCTTCATCTACGCACTCATCGCTTTGGCTGCTCATGACTATTCTATCCATGTGCAACACAACCTGGAGACGGGACAGAATGCAGCCTCGGCGGAGACCAGTGCCACCTTTGAAAGTTTTTGACTTGAAGCCATTTACTCTGACACAGCACCTGCTTTCAGAATGCAGTGATTGGATGGCCCATAACTGCTGGCCGTCTATCCTGTACGCTCACATGCATGATCACAGGCTGTTGCGCGGGATCTGGTCATGGGCTTGTTCTAGGACAACAAAACACGTGTACATCGGACGGACATGCAACAACGATTTCTCAACAGTCTGGCGCGGTGCGAATATATGGTCAGAGGTGCTTCAACCGGGCCGGAAGCCGCTCTGCTCTTCTTGTATCTTGGAGTCAGTTATTCCGCGACACCTCCTTTGTACTACCTTTTCGTAGACTTTACCTGGGAGGCTCAATAAGGTTATGACCGATACTTGGAGCACACCCTGTGGTCTCCTTTCTTGAACAGGGTTACAACAGTTCCCGTTCTCTAGTCCACTGGTATCTTCCCCGTAGCCACTGGAGTTTGAGGGAAACGTGTTAGCCAGGACATGCCTTGTTCGCCTAATGCTTTGGGCATTTCAGGGCGGATTTAATCGTTTCCATCAGCCTTACCACTTTTCAAGCTTTTCTGGCTTGTGTAATTTCATCTTCAGAAATGGTTATGTCCGTCCCCTACTGCTGTACTGGCCGGTGTTCCTGCAGCTGATTGGGGTTGAAGAACTCCGCAGTGTACTCTCTCCATTGCCGAAGAATGTCCTGATTTTCGGTAAGAGGGTGTCCAGACGTGTCCTTCAAGACTCTTAGACTGTCTTTTTTATCACCTCGTAGCCTAACCATCTTCTAGAACACCTTGTTTACCGTGAGGAAATTCGACTCCGACAACTCATCGAACTTCGTCCAGGAATCTGCTTTGGTTTTCGCAACTGCTTTTGGTGCCGCCTTGCGTGCTTCGACATCGCTCGTCAGTAAAAGGCTTTTTGTTTCTGAGCCATTTCTTGAATGCGGCCTTCTCTTAACTGCCAACTGTACGTCGTGTGTCTACCAAGAACTTCTTTTCTGACCTCCAGGCGGCAGGCCAACCTACTTGTGTCCTCAGCACTCTGCGACAGCCCCGAGTATGCCGCTGTCGGTTTCCACATCAGTGATCATCACCGGGATCTGTTCACACCGTCGTGCGATGTTGTTTCCGAATTTTGCTCTGGTGTCCACCGAAGATAATGTTTCCCATTTGATTCTCTGGTTGCTTCTGTCACCAGATCTTCGTATGGTAGTCCATTTCTTACTGCGTATCGTGCCAACAATATGGTGGTGATCGGTTGACAGGTCTGCGTCTCTCTTAGCGCGAACATCTATGACAGAGCGTCGTAAGTCAGACGATTCGATTATCAAATCGATCATCGACTTCTGTACACAAGCTTCCCTGTACCAGGTATACTGAATGATGTTTCAATGCGGGAAAAAGGTATTCATAATGCACAAAACCGCAGCAGCCTCAAGCCGTTATTGTTGAGATTGCTAGGGCCATTCTTTCTAACCACTCCTTTCGCTTTC